GTGATAGATAAAGATATATATTCTTCAGGTCACAAGCTTTATAAATTTTTGGTCATATATTTTGTCCGAGAATTAAAAAATTTATGTCTTTTTTTTGGTTCTCTTAAATCACAAAAATTGATAAATGAGCAACATATAATTTTTTTTAATTAAATATTTAAAATACGTTGTATACTATGTTAGTTATAAACCGTTAGCACTACAATCAGCTTCAAGAAAACAAAAAAAAAAAAAAAAAGTAAATGGAACAATGATTAAGGTTAAGGTGACGTATTTCTTTTTATGACTTTAAAGGAAAGAAAATGTGACTTTGGTTATAATAAAAAAAAGAAAGAAAAAGAAAACAAAAGTGGTGTGAGTTCATACATAATAAATATTTAAAATTTAATTATTATTATTATTATTATTATTATTATTATTATTATTATTAAGACATAAAATAAATTCGAACTATATTTCGTTATTCTAAACTATATTTCTTTTTCTATAGTAATAATAACAAATAATTACAACATGATAAACAAGATTGATATAATAAAAAATACTTCTTGTCTAATTCTATTTTTACTCTTTTTTTTTTCAACATACCATAGAAAAGTTAATTGAATACAATGTGGTGCTGCTTATAGAAAATTTGGCTCCGTGTTTATTTAATGTACTATTTTAGAACCAATTTAATTTAATTCAATTGAATGTAGATTCTTGCAATAGGACTAGTAAATAATTTATTTTTTAATCTAAGTTAGAATATTTTAATTTCGGATTACACAATTAATACAAAAGTGATTTATAAATTGTTTATACTGTGAATCAATTTTATAAATATGTCTTGTTTTTTTATAAAAATATCAATCAAGGATTAATCTATTTTTCAATAATTTGGATTTTTAGTTCTTTAGAAGGTTTTGAATATTAAAATTAACTTTGTTTTTATTGATACGAATGAAAATATTAAAGATGAAGGTAAAAAAATAAAAGATGTCAGAGAAACTGGAAATGTAAATACAGCAAAATAAAACCAAGGATAAAGTAAAAATTAGTAAAAAAAAATCTATG